AATAAACGTGCAGCGTCTGTAGAATAAAGAAATAAATGTGCAGCGTCTGTAGAATTAAGAAATAAACGTGCAGCGTCTGTAGAATAAAGGAATAAATGTGTAGCGTCTGTAGAATTAAGGAATAAATGTGTAGCGTCTGTAGAATCAAGAAATAAATGTGCAGCATCTGTAAAATTAAGAAATAAACGTGCTGCGTCTTTAAAATAAAGAAATAAATGTGCAGCGTCTGTAAAATTAAGAAATAAATGTGCAGCGTCTGTAAAATTAAGAAATAAACGTGCAGCGTCTGTAGAATAAAGAAATAAACACGCTGCATTTGTAGAATAAAGAAATAAACACGCTGCATTTGTAGAATAAAGAAATAAACGTGCAGCGTTTGTAGAATAAAGAAAAAAACGTGCAGCGTCTGTAGAATAAAGAAATAAACACGCTGCATTTGTAGAATAAAGAAATAAACGCTGCATTTTTAGAATAAAGAAATAAACGCGCTGCGTCTTTAGATTAAAGAAATAAAAGCGCTGCGTCTGTAGAATAAAGAAATAAATGCGCTGCGTCTTTAGAATAAAGAAATAAACACGCTGCATTTGTAGAATAAAGAAATAAACGCTGCATTTGTAGAATAAAGAAATAAACGCGCTGCGTCTTTAGATTAAAGAAATAAACGCGCTGTGTCTGTAGAATAAAGAAATAAATGCGCTGCGTCTGTAGAATAAAGAAATAAACGTGCAGCGTCTTTAGAATAAAGAAATAAACACGCTGCATTTGTAGAATAAAGAAATAAACGCGCTGCGTCTGTAGAATAAAGAAATAAACACGCTGCATTTGTAGAATAAAGAAATAAACGCTGCATTTGTAGAATAAAGAAATAAACGCGCTGCGTCTTTAGATTAAAGAAATAAACACGCTGTGTCTGTAGAATAAAGAAATAAATGCGCTGCGTCTTTAGAATAAAGAAATAAACGTGCAGCGTCTTTAGAATAAAGAAATAAACACGCTGCATTTGTAGAATAAAGAAATAAACGCGCTGCGTCTGTAGAATAAAGAAATAAACACGCTGCATTTGTAGAATAAAGAAATAAACGCTGCATTTGTAGAATAAAGAAATAAACGCGCTGCATCTTTAGATTAAATAAATAAACGTGCTGCGTCTGTAGAATAAAGAAATAAACGCGCTGCGTCTTTAGAATAAAGAAATAAACACGTTGCATTTGTAGAATAAAGAAATAAACGCTGCATTTGTAGAATAAAGAAATAAACGCTGCATTTGTAGAATAAAGAAATAAACGCGCTGCGTCTTTAGATTAAAGAAATAAACGCGCTGCGTCTGTAGAATAAAGAAATAAATGCGCTGCGTCTTTAGAATAAAGAAATAAACACGCTGCATTTGTAGAATAAAGAAATAAACGCTGCATTTGTAGAATAAAGAAATAAACGCGCTGCGTCTGTAGAATAAAGAAATAAATGCGCTGCGTCTTTAGATTAAAGAAATAAACACGTTGCATTTGTAGAATAAAGAAATAAACGCGCTGCGTCTTTAGATTAAAGAAATAAACGCGCTGTGTCTGTAGAATAAAGAAATTAACGCTGCATTTGTAGAATAAAGAAATAAACGCGCTGCGTCTTTAGATTAAAGAAATAAACGCGCTGCGTCTGTAGAATAAAGAAATTAACGCTGCATTTGTAGAATAAAGAAATAAACGCGCTGCATCTTTAGATTAAAGAAATAAAAGCGCTGCGTCTTTAGATTAAAGAAATAAACACGCTGCATTTGTAGAATAAAGAAATAAACGCGCTGCGTCTTTAGATTAAAGAAATAAACGCGCTGCGTCTGTAGAATAAAGAAATTAACGCTGCATTTGTAGAATAAAGAAATAAACGCGCTGCGTCTTTAGATTAAAGAAATAAACGCGCTGCGTATTTAGATTAAAGAAATAAACGCGCTGCGTCTGTAGAATAAAGAAATAAATGCGCTGCGTCTTTAGAATAAAGAAATAAACGTGCAGCGTCTTTAGAATAAAGAAATAAACACGCTGCATTTGTAGAATAAAGAAATAAACACGCTGCATTTGTAGAATAAAGACATAAACGCGCTGCGTCTTTAGATTAAAGAAATAAACGCGCTGCGTCTTTAGATTAAAGAAATAAACGCGCTGCGTCTGTAGAATAAAGAAATAAATGCGCTGCGTCTTTAGAATAAAGAAATAAACGTGCAGCGTCTTTAGAATAAAGAAATAAACACGCTGCATTTGTAGAATAAAGAAATAAACGCGCTGCGTCTTTAGATTAAAGAAATAAACGCGCTGCGCTTGTAGAATAAAGAAATAAACGCGCTGCGTCTGTAGAATAAAGAAATCAAAGCGAAAGACATGAATCTTTTATTTGCAGGTCCTCTGCCTTGCTGCATGTGTCTCTCAGAGTCACTAATTGGTTCTGTAAAAACACTCCCACAATATAAAGCCGACCTGAAGAGTCCTGCGACCCCCATTCAGCCCAGATATGTAACTGGAGCCTGCGGTATTATTATTAGACCTGCTAGTTAGAGCCTGGCCTCTGCGGTGCCACCTTCAAACCAGCTCCATTGTGTGGACGCTCCAAGGCTGAGATTATGCGGTCGGGTTAAAAAATAAGAGAAAGACCCCGACCCACCCCCTGCCCCCCCCTCCAGCTCACTAGGAACCTGCTTTAAATGGGCTCTATACAACGACGGGAGATGGTTTTACACATTAGGGAGCAGCTCAGTGAGCTGGTCAGGTTGCTGTGGTCACCTGGAGCCGGTGCCACCCAGCAGGACTCGCCCTTTCATCCTTTGTACCACAGAGCAGGAGGGGGGGGGGCTTTTATTTTGCCATGCAGCTGGTAGAGACACTCGGTTCCCAAACACCCCCCCCCGACTCAAGATTACGCGAAGGACACACCTTCAGATCCTCATCCTGGAATTCACCTCACTTCACCTCCACCCAGTCATGGACACTCGTCCAGGAAACAGACATCAGACTCGTGGACGCCTCCTGCTGCTTTCACTCTTATTTACAGGCTTTTAGCAGAGTCACTAAACGCCTCGGCTTCCCTCTTCATGCATGTTGATTTTTTGCTTTATGTGTGGTACAAATGAGAAGTTTGAGGCTCTCATTATGTTTCGCTGTGAGCGCTGCAGTTGCTTCATGACGCAGCCTCGTGGTCTGTTGTTGCTGCTGGAGTAGAACTGCTTTTAATCGACTTTTAATGTTGGAGTTGTGAGCCGTTTAAACCAGGTCAGTGGAGGCGTGTCGCTGCAGGTACGGGTGAACGGTCACGCCATCGCATCACAAGACGTAAGAAAACACACCAATGAGACGCTGCGGTGAGGTTTAACCCGCTCAGAAAATGCTTTATTGCCAAGTAGTTTTTACATAAACGAAGAATTTGTTTTGGAGATAAGGTGCTGCATGTAGACAAACATCCAGAAGACATAAATAAAGGTAGAAATATATAAATATGGAATAAATTGACAAAATACATAATATAGAAGAATAACGATTAACACTTAACATCAAACAACAAATAAGTGCAATATACCGGGGATGTGCGTGAATTAAATAATACTTACATGTGCAGAGACATTTGTATTATTTGAAAGGGGGGAGTGTCAGTGGGGGACTCAGGGATGGCGGTGTAGAAGTGCACCATCATTGTCTTTGGCAGGCTGAACTTCTTCAGCTGCTGCAGGAAGTTCATCCTCTGCTGGGCCTTCTTGGTGAGGGAGGTGATGTTCAGCTCCCACCTGAGGTCCTGGGAGATGATGGTGCCCAGGAAGCAGAAGGAGTCCACAGTGGAGACGGGGGAGTCACACAGGATGATGGGGGGGGTGGGGCTGGGCACTTCCTGAAGTCCACGACCATCTCCACTGTCTTCAGAGCGTTGAGCTGCAGACTGTTCTGGCTGCACCAGGTCACCAGATGGTCGATCTCCCACCTGTAGGCGGACTTGTCCCCACCAAGATGAGCCCATGAGGGTGGTGTCATCCGCAAACTTCAGCAGCTTGACAGACTGGTGACTGGAGGTGCAGCTGTTGGTGTACAGGAGAAGAAAGGGGGAAAGAACGCAGCCTTGAGGGGAACCGGTGCTGATGGTCCTGGAGTCAGAGACATGTTTTCCCAGCTTCACGTGCTGCTTCCTGTCCGTCAGGAAGTCTGTGATCCACCTGCAGGTGGAGTCAGGCACGTTCAGCCGGGAGAGCTTGTCCTGCAGCAGGGCCGGGATGATGGTGTTGAAAGCAGAGCTGAAGTCCACAAACAGGATCCTGGCGTAGGTTCCTGGGGAGTCCAGGTGCTGGAGGATGTAGTGAAGGGCCACGTTTACTGCATCATCTACAGACCTGTTGGCTCTGTAGGTGAACTGCAGGGGGTCCAGGATCTGGTCTGTGATGGATTTAAGGTGGGACAACAGAAGACGGTCAAAGGACTTCATGACCACAGAGGTCAGAGTGACGCGTCTGTAGTCCTTGGAGTAGATCCTACTCCTCCTCCTGCTTCTCCTCCTCCTCCTACTCCTACTCCTCCCCATCCTCGTCCTCCTCTTCTTCCTACTCCTCCCCATCCTCCTCTTCCTCCTTCTCCTCCCCATCCTCCTCCTCCTCCCCATCCTCCTCCTCCTCCTTCTGCTCCCCATCCTCCTCCTCTTCTTGCTCCTCCTCCTCCCCCCCCCTCCTCTTCTTCCTCCTCCCCCTCCTCCTCCTCCTCCCCATCCTCCCCCTCCTCCTCCCCTCTTCCACCTCCCCATCCTCCCCCCTCCTCCTCCCCATCTTCCACCTCCCCATCCTCCTCCTCCTCTCCCTCCCCATCCTCCTCCTCCTCCTCCTCCTCGCCCTCTTCTTCCTCCTCCTCCTCCTCCTCCCCATCCTCCCCCTCCTCCTCCCCATCTTCCTCCTCCTCTTCCTCCTCCTCTTCCTCCTCCTCCTCCCCCTCTTCTTCCTCCTCCTCTCCCTCCTCCTCCTCCCCTCTTCTTCCTCCTCCTCTCCCTCCACCTCCCCACCTCCTCCTCCTCCTCCTCCCCCTCTTCTTCCTCCTCCTCCTCCTCCTCCCCCTCCTCCCCCTCCTCCTCCTCCCCATCCTCCCCCTCCTCCTCCCCATCTTCCACCTCCCCATCCTCCTCCTCCTCTCCCTCCCCATCCTCCTCCTCCTCCTCCTCCTCGCCCTCTTCTTCCTCCTCCTCCTCCACCTCCCCATCCTCCTCCTCCTCTCCCTCCCCATCCTCCTCCTCCTCCTCGCCCTCTTCTTCCTCCTCCCCCTCCTCCTCCCCATCTTCCTCCTCCTCTTCCTCCTCCTCCTCCCCCTCTTCTTCTCCTCCTCCTCCTCCCGCTCTTCTTCCTCCTCCTCTCCCTCCACCTCCCCATCCTCCTCCTCCTCCTCCTCCTCTTCCTCCTCCCCATCTTCCTCCTCCTCCCCTCTTCCTCCTCCTCCTCCCCTCCTCCTCCTCCCTCCTCGCCCTCTTCTTCCTCCTCCTCCTCCTCCTCCCCATCCTCCCCCTCCTCCTCCCCATCTTCCTCCTCCTCTTCCTCCTCCTCTTCCTCCTCCTCCTCCCCCTCTTCTTCCTCCTCCTCTCCCTCCTCCTCCTCCCGCTCTTCTTCCTCCTCCTCTCCCTCCACCTCCCCATCCTCCTCCTCCTCCTCCCCCTCTTCTTCCTCCTCCTCCTCCTCCTCCCCATCCTCCCCCTCCTCCTCCTCCCCATCCTCCCCCTCCTCCTCCCCATCTTCCACCTCCCCATCCTCCTCCTCCTCTCCCTCCCCATCCTCCTCCTCCTCCTCCTCCTCGCCCTCTCTTCCTCCTCCTCCTCCACCTCCCCATCCTCC